TCGATAATTATCGACATGAAACCGTTATATTTTCCAGCATACTTTTTAAACCCGTAAAGAAAATCCATTGCAATTACGAGTTTTCAGAAGTCACCTCACTGCAAAAACACAATCTTTCAAAGTATGTTGACTAATTTCTAATGTTTTGAGCACACTTGAAATAGGAAAACTAACTTACAAGCAACTTTTTTGGCAAGATGCTTGTTTTAAGTCAGTAATTATTGAGTATTGATTAAGTAAGTAGCTCCACTGGCAGATTTTTTCACTTAAAAACAGGGGCGCTTGTACCATCCAGTGACGTATGGAAGTGGCAGCATCATGTTGTGGGAATCCATTTAATTTCACCCATAAGCTAGTCTCATTAAGCAAAACCTCAGACAACAAATCAAACTCGGAACAAAAGATACAAAATTATTTTATTGATTATTTCTTACAAAGACATCTAGGAAGGAAAAACAAATCTAGTAAATTAACTGTTAGGTACAAAACAAAATGTTTTCATAGAGTCAACAGGATTTGAGTATTTTCTCCAACAGTTCATCAGCAGCTCCCTGCATCACAGCAGCTTGATGACCTAACCATAAAAATGCATCAACATGCTGCAAATTGAGCTTCAACACGAGACATGAGATGATGCAAGACGGACCACTAACAACATAAAGCTTCTGCAACAGGAAGAGGGTTTGGGGCAGAGCAGAACCAACGGAAATAAGTGCTGCCATCTTCTTCTCTGATCCCACTGGTGCTTCGTTTGGACACGACTTCGACCTGCAGGGAGAGTCGAACATATGCTTGACAACAGCAGCGTTTGTTCTATTTATATTTTGTCACTGCCTTTTCTTAACATTTGGTTTTATTGTTTGGGAGTGCAAGATCAGAGCTGCTCGGTGGTAAATTTATAAATTATCAATGAGTGAGCCTTTAGATCCCTTCAGTTTGAAGTCATTTCAGTACAGGAAGCAAGATGAACAAGGCCTGAAACGAACAGTTAGTCGGTTATTCTGACAAGTAATTGATTATTCTCATAATTAGTTAGTCTGATGATTATTAATCGGTTATTCTGACAAGATGCTTAATTTGAGATTTTTTTTAAATTTATTTATTTTTTACAGAATGTGAACCAGGTAAAGCTAAAGCGATGCCACTTGAGGATTTCTGGGTAGAAAACATTTTCAGACAAAGAAGGTTTTCATCCTAAAAGCAAAATGTATTTGTTTGTACAGTTCTGGCTTAATTACAGCTCTGCCTTTGTTTTTCTCCCAGCAAATGGCCTTTTTAAGAGTCTGCATATTCCAGTTAACAATTAATCGGTTACTAAATTACCTGATGATCATTTTAATAATTGATAAATCACCAATTATTTGATCAATGATTGACGCTCTACAAGAAGCTGAATCTGTTTAAACCCTGATGTTTGTTAGAATCCACAGAAATGTGACTCATCACTGCAGTTGTTGAAACCTTCAAAAGGAACCAACTCTGGAAAACATTAAGACACAATCCTATGCATATTTTAATAAATATCCGATTAAATAAGAAAAGTTTGTCAAATATGAAAAACGCTTAAAAATACACATTCAAATACACATTTATTCTAAATAAATAGAAAGAATTGTCCTTACTAGTGCTCAACATCTGCATCCTCAAACTGACCGGCCTCCATCGCTGCAGCATCCACCTCCATCCCTTCTGCAACCAAACAGATTGAAATATTTTTTCATGCAGAGTCTCTTGAACAGTATTCACTCTGTCAGTGCACTCTGGTAAGAGACTAGTAGCACCAATTGGCTGGACCTCTATTGAATTATGCATTTTTATTAAAAGGATAAGTTACTAAATCCATAATGAGAAAAACTGTTTTGTTGCATCTATTCTGTCTTTTCTGACGCTTTGAATCTGAAAACTTTACAAAAAATATATATATATCTTGCATTGCAGCCCAGAGAGCAGCTTTCAGGATGGAGTCTCATTATTCTGTTAAGGATCTGAATTAATGTGAGTTATAACATCATTGCATTTCTCTTTGGGATCAGTTAAATAGTTTTTAATGTGAATTAACCACTTTAACCTCTCAATTTGCATCATATTTTTTATAAATGAGGATTTGATTCCTGAGAAAAAGCTTCAATGCTCTTTCTAGTTCATTTCTGATGTCACAAATTTAAACCGTTTTCTACCCTTTTGTTTTTCTTTTTTGTGTTTCTGTCCTACTTAAATATTTTAATTTTTCATATTGTATTTAGGATTATAGACACAGTTAGTGGAAAAACATCCTTTGTGTCGATTTATATTCTTGATGTAGTTTCACTAAGTTGAGTAACTGCCCTCTTGCTGCACGTATTTGTGTTAGAAATTAAAATTTCACATTTTTCTCTATTATCAGAAACAAAACATTTGCAAATAATAATGCCATTTATTCAGTTGCTCAATAAAATAACTTTAATTTCTAATAGATTTATTTGCACTGTAATGTTTTAAACAGGAGAGAATAAAAAAAAAAAACAGCATCAGCTCCACTCAAACCTTCAAACTCGGCTTTTGTTTCTTCAGTTCTGACTCCGGCCATGTGGTACTGCTGGCTGACGGACTGGGCCAGCATCCCCTCCAGCCTCTCCAGCGTGGCCTGGCCCTCCTGCGTGAGCGCCGACAAACCTTCGTCACACGTGTAGAAGGTCGGGATGTCGGCATGGCCGTGCTCTGAGCACATGAACACACATGGAGAATCAATCTATCCTGGATCAAGAGTTGTTTTAGCAGGTTTTGGGTTTTTATAAAGCTATGATCAGACATATTGATTTTAGCCTCTAAGAATTTTAATATGTGCATTTGAATATTTTTCTTCCTGAATTATTGACTTCAGGACCAGAGGCAACGTCACACTGTGTGTGAGAGAGCAGTCGGTGTAATAAAGGGTTTATGAAATGAGTACATTTTACATTTTAAGATGTTTTTAACTTTATTTAATAGAGACTATAGCATTTAACACGAGCAGCATTAGTAAAACTGCAGTTTGTTCATATTTCTTAAAGCAGGGGTCTCTAACCTGTGGCCCTTTGGACAATTTAAAATGGCTCTTAATCCCTTTGACTAAAATTATAAATAGCCAACTAATGTTTTAAAATGCAGATATAATAAAAAAATGCAGTTTTATGGAATTAATTCCTCTTTTGCCATTGAAAATCTGCATTTACAGCAAAAACAAAATCCTACCAAGTTTTTCTGGAACCTTTAAACTGATCTTAGACTGTTATTGCAACATTTAAAAATTTTAACATTGTGTTATTGTGTGATAAACTTTACACATCTTACCTGCCTCTGCAAAAAAACAGTCCATGGAGAGATGAAAAACAACCAGAAATGGTGGAGAGTTAGTGTTATTTATGTAATTCAGGGATAATTATGATGAGCTACTGAACAAAACAGCAGTTCAAGAATCACTTTGAAAGAAAAATACAACAATTTCAGAATATTATAGTCAAAAATACTAACTATATAAACATACTGATTCAATAACTCTGACTTTTTGAAGAAAAACAAGTTAACAATTCCTTCTTGGTGAAAAATACTAAAAAATATTTGCAAGTTAAACACACAAACGAAGAAAATAAAGCTTTTAATTCCTGCTTCCAAGGACCCAGACTTTAGTGGAATATTTTCTTTTATGGGTATTACATTTTTACACCGTTTAAAATGGACGGTCACAACAGTAATATTCACTTTCATGTTTGAAATATTAAACAAAAACAGAGGACCAGGTGAGGTACCTGGCAAAAATGCATTGAATGAATGTGGGAATCATGCTACATCAAATCAAATTGTGCACAGTTGTCCCTTGGTCAATTTAATTCCAGCTGCTGAGACAATAACCTCTGAATTAGGAGGCAAGAATATGAAAATATGGACCGATGCAAATATTACTCTTATTACTGTTAATAGTGACACAATAAACTTTAAAAGACCCAAAGAAAGGCTGATAGAGAGCTCTTTAAAAGGGGACCTACTATGCAAAATTCATGTTTTGTGCGTTTTTATACTTCCGTTTGGATCTCTGCTGTTTTTAGACACAGCCCAAGAGATTAAAAGAAAGAAAACACAACGTAATGTTTTTAATCAGTTTCACCTTGGGGATCGATAAAGTATATTCTCTTCTATTTTTGGTGTCTGGAAAATGAGCCATTTCAAAAACCTTCGGAATGTTGAGTCACACTGTGCCATTACCTAGCAACCCCAACCAGCCTAACCCGTTACCTAGCAACCCAGTCACGATAGGTCTCCTTTAATTATTACAAGAAAGTCTGGAACCTTGGAAGTAAAACATTAAAATCACAGGTCAGTTTTGCGCTGTGTTGTGGATTTTTTTTCCTCACCAGCTTCTTCCACGTCGTACTCCTCTCCCTCAAAGTCATTATCAGAGTCTTCGTCGTCCGGGTCGGGATGAAGGGCCTGGCATTCACACATGGCTGAGAACATGGACTCCACTGCATGGAAAAGATCATACCATCAAACCTGATGCATCACTGAGGCAGCACTACTCCACAACTGTCACTTACTTCAAACACAAAACAGTTTTTTTTTGTTTAAACAAGAAAAAAAAATAGAATAAGAAAATAAGGATGCATAGATGTAAAAGTAAAAAAAAAAAAAAGGAAAAACAGTGGGTGCTTTATGTTTGTTTTTTTTAAGCAGGATGACTCTTGATGATTATAATACTGATGATCTAAGTTTTTGTCAGATCAATGCATTGATATCTTATCCTTTCATAAAACCATTACAAAAAAAAAAGTACACCCTCCTTCAATATAGAGCAGTGGTGTCCAAACTTTTTGTCCCACAGGCCAGAAAGAAAACGTTGAAAGTACTCTGGGCGGCCATTTTTCCATTGTGTAAAGCAGGGTATGCTGCACCTGACAACAGGTAATACATCTGATAGAATATCCAATATGTAGAATATTCACTGAACTCCAATCCAGAACCGCACAGCATTCTGGGAGACGTACACAGAGCAAAGACTTTAACCGCTCAACCGCTAACGGCTAAAGCTAAAGCTTAGTTCACACAGCACCATTTTTCCCTTCCGACAATCTTAGAACTTTGGTTACCTAGCAACTCACAAATTCTTTGGTTACCTAGCAACAACCTGTTAAGTAACTTGCACAGCAGAAGTTTAAGGTTTTGCCACCATGCCTCATAACTGCTTAAAAATAAAAAGCAATGGCGTGGGGTGAAAACTGGATAAAACAGGATAGCTCACGCCACCAGTTTGGCAGCATTTCAGATACTTAAAACAAAAAACTAATCAATAACTATCAATATCAAAACAATATAAGCTGAAAGTCAATTCCCACAGTGTGGTCACTCACATGACGTCTTGTCGGTCGGCACAAACCGAATCTCTGTGATCATCCCTTCATCATCGTCATCATCCCCGTCGCTGCTGCCGCCGCTGTCATTGCCGTCATCACCAGCTCCTTTCTCGGCCATTTCCGCCTCATTCTCACCTGTGAACATCAAACCAGTGACTCAAAACATTTTCTCAGAAGGTGACAGAAACATTCACTATTATAAAAACAGGTATTTCAAACAAACTTCCCCCTTACCGCTGAGCTTTCCGTTCACCATGACGTACAGGTGTTCCTGGGGGTAAGCACTCACGTCCCTGGAGATGGCATGGAGACCGATGGAGGGGTACTCCAAAGAGAAACCCAAACCTGATCCATCAAACCACGACAAGCGCCTGACAGAAAAAAACAAACAAACAAAAAAACAAAAAACAAAGTACAGGTGTGGGTTTGTGCAAAACTCCTCAATCACTCAATCAAGTTTATTTTGAATAGCACATTTCAGCAACAAGGCAGTTCAAAATGCTTTATTTACATCATAACACAAAAATGAAAAGTCACAGAAGACACAGTAAACAACTGAAACATTACATTTTGTCAAGTGCCATCGCTACACATCCTGATATTTTAATACATGTTTGTACAATTTTCAACCATTTGAGATAAGTTCTCAAACTTTTCCAGCACCACACTTTGGAGATAAATACAATACAAACCACAAAAGACTATTTCAATTCACTTAATGCTGGACAATAAATCTATATATATATCGAGATAAACACGTAACCAATATCGACAGGAAATAAAAGCTTTAAATATTATACTCTATATGTAATTAATCTCTAGAAAATGACGGTTTATGTTCTGAGATTACTGGCAATAAGTATAGCACTTTTACGCAATATTCTAACGTTTTTAGATGTAATCGTTATAAACAGCGTGTGTGGTATGATGTAACAGAAACAAAATAAACATTGGTAGTCATGCCATTAAAACCAATTATGACGGTCCCTGCAATATATTATATTACATATTTATCTACTTTATTTGTATACATTAGCCCATTTTTTTACAATAAATATGTTATGAAAACCCCAACCTGCTGTCCACAGATGAAAACAAGCGCCATGTGCATCACTTACGTTTCGGCGACGTACAGCGTGCCGCAGCCCAGCCTCTGCCCGTCCAGCACCGCCGTGGTGGCGGCTTGCTCGTGCCGCACTCCCTCGGTGGGAGGGTGGATGTTTTTCAGGAGAACCATGTCCGTGTAACAGTAAAGTCGTCCTCAACGTCGAATCTGGACCGAACAAGTAGCTGTGTGACCTACTTCGTGTCGCAAATCTGGCTAATTTATCCCGAGATAACTTCTCGGTAATTGCTTGACGGCGAGCAACGGGAGGAGATAAACCGTAGCCGCTCTCTGCCTTTCTCCTCCCGGATAAACTGACCAAGGATAAGTCGTTTGGAGAACTATCACAGGAACTGATAAATAGGAAAGTTGTGCTGTTAGTTAGCTAGCTTAACTGCTTTCCCTGTTGCTTGGCTGCGTCGGCCTACGTCGAGCTGAAATAACGCGGCTTGTTCCATACGTGACGAATGATACGCTAAAAAGAAATCACGTGTCGCACGCTAGCCCGACGGTTGGAGGCACAGACGTCCTTACGTTACTTTGAAATTCACGTACATGTTTCTACGTAGTTAGGCAGTTTAATATTTAATGAGTTTCAGGCGCCCTCCAGCGGTGATAGTGCGCAAACTAACAAGACTCAAAAATACCTTGGCAATTTTTTTTAAAACTTACGTTTATATGAGTAAATAAAACATTTGCTGTATGTGCAGTTGTGCTAATTACATAAAATATGTAGAAAATATATCTATAATTATTAAAGGGTGTGTATCATTTCTAAAATATACAACAAATGTGAAATTCATCAACTGAAATTTGAACTGGTTAAGTACTTTTCACCATATAAATATTTTAATATTGATTAAATTATTTCAAATTTCAGTGTGCTATAGTACACCAAGAAGTATCAAAATTCATATTTAGTTTTTTCTCTGTTTTTAATTAAATTTAAATTACATTTAATTAAAGTCCAAATGCATTTTCTTAATGACGTAAGATAATCACATCATAAAATAAATACATAATAAAATAGCATTACACATAGGCATGTCATTTTAAACTGAAATGTGTATTAAAAAAAACTAATGTGACAGATTTTAGATGTGATCATAATCAGGCAAAATTATGAACACAGACAAAAAATAAATTGCATTTCAACGTTTGGCTTTAAAATCTAGCATCCTGACATTTTCATGGACTTTACTGTTTACAACAAAACTATCTTATATTATAACAGAACTTCTATGCAAATGCCCAGAGGGTTTATCACCAGTTTTAGGAAATTATATGCACATTTTAAAATTATTAATTGCCTTATTAAACTTTTAAAGACCTTAAACTTTTCAGATTTTTTCACATTGTAATGACAAACTTTAATGTATTTTATTGTGAATTTATCTAAAAGAGCATATAAATAATAATATTGATAATAATAATAAATAATAATAATAATAATAATAATAATAATAATAATAATAATAATAATAATAATAATAATAATAAACAATGTTTGGAAAATGCAGAGGGAGAAAATGCAAACATGCAGAAAAAGAGTTGAACCAAAAACCTTATTGGTGCAAACTGTCTTATAAAAATGTATATATTTCTGGGTCAAAATCCACAAAAGACCTGTCACCTTTCTGGTTTTTTTTAATAAGAACTACCAATATTTTGTATGCAGCCATTATTTTTCTGCTGATTTAATTATTCTCAGGGCTCTGGGAGATGGAGACGGAGACGGACACAAACCAAACGAGGTTTAGTGCACACTAACACGAATGAAAACTCAATAAATAAATGTGTAAAATAAATGTGTTAAATGCTGTGTTCAACAGTACGATCTCCATCAGTTTCCTCTCTAAAGCTTCGTGATGAATCCGTTTTATCCGCTCGCCGCTCTTCATCCTCCTCCTCCACCTCAGTGGGGATCCTTCCTGGATCTTCATCTCTGTTGGAGTCATCCTCAGTCGCTCCAGGATTCTCATAGCAGCCTTCCTCACAGATTGAGGAAGAGGAAGAAGAGGAAGAAGAGGTGGCAGTGGCGGTGGGCGTCGGTACAGCATTGAAAATGATGAAGCCGAGGAGGATGACCACAAGAGAGACCAGGTAGAGTCCAGAGAACTGAGCAAAGAGTTGATAATTTTACAGAGGCAAAGAAAACAATGACGCAGAAAAATATAGGAATAGTGAAATAATGAAGATAGAAGCAAAATGACAAACAGATACAGTTACATGCAGCAACAATCATAAAAAAACAAAGTGTATTCTGTCTTAATTATAACGTTTCCCACGTCAGGACAATGATCTGGTCTTTCTCAGGTTATAAACATTTAAATATAACATCCAGTGCACAAACACTGTCCTTATTTATTGAACAAAGATAAAATCAACCCTACAATTCAACGTCACTTTTACAGTTGCACATTTTCTTGGGTCTGGAGTAGCTTTTCTAATAACTTCACAATATTTATGTTGAAATTTTTACAATATTTTACCATTTTTTTAAATTCTTTATTCTGTTTTTATATATTTTATGTTTTATCTTTGCCTGCTTGCTTTGATGGCCTGTCACTATTTACTGCTGCTGTTGCACAACAATAAAGGAATTTCTATTCTTTTCTATTTACCAACCTGCAAACTGGAGATGCACCAATCCGATATTAATATCGATATTGATCCCGATACCGAAAATCGGGATCAGGATTTTCTGATTCTAGATTCAGAATCACTGAGTTCCCGATCTAGAATTACTGATTCTAGATCGGGAATCAGTGCCAATGTGCCCAATCCATGAGGGCAGATCTATTCAGTCTAATTCTATGCTTTATTGTTTATTTTACATTATATTTAGAATTACTGACTTTCTGAACCATTTGAAAGAAGGTTTGTGGAACTTTATTATTTGACCAAAATAGCCAACTGTTTTTGACAGTTTATTTATTATTTATTTTACATTTTCTGTTATAACTGCACTGACTGAACTAATTAAAGTTGTTTTTCCATGTTTTACCAAACTAGTGTATTTAAGTGTGTTGTACTGGTGCATAGTTATCAGTTAAATTTGTAATTCAGTACGTTTGTGAATAAAAAAAGTAACGCATTAAGTCAATTCAGCGATGTTTCTCTGTATCGGATCTGTATCGGCTGATATGACTTCTCAGATACTGGTATTGGAAGAAAAGAACACGCAAAGATGACAGTGAAATGGTGGAGTTGATATTTTCTTTATATATTTATTGATAGATAGAAATATATTCTAGTATGGGAAGTTCAGAAAGTTTACCTGATTGAGCAAAACCGATGTGAGTTTTTTGGATTCAACAAATCAAAATGACCCTAAAACAGTTGAAAACCCCAGGGAGTTTTTGGCTGTTGACCAGTTTTGTCTTTAGCAGATTGATTTCTCACAGATCATGTTATCAAACATGTATGTCAGAGTAACGTACTGATCTATGATGTATGACCGGTTAATTAAGCGCTTTATTTATTCAGACCTGTCTGCTATTTTTCATCTTAAATCATTCTTAAGGAAAACAAGGGCGTTCTGTTGTGGCGTGTGCAGAGAGTCCTTTCTGAAGACAGATGCGATTGCAGGTTGACCTTGGTCATTATTCATTAACACTGCAGAATCTTGATAGGACTTTGCAGGTCACTGCAACCCAGAGAGCGGTGAGGAACAAAGCATGCTGCTGAAATAAAACACTTTGATTCAGACTTAATCTGCTTCCAATGTGAATCAAAATTCACAATAAATGGCACAAAAAGGCGATTCATGTTGTCAGTTTACTGATAAACATCCTGCAGGGCAGTAATTGTTTTCTTATTCTGAGTGACACCAAAACTGAAGATGATACAGCTGGATCAAAAAACGACAAAGTAAGATAGGTAATGAGTAACTGAAATGAACTGTTTATAGGAAATACGAGCCAAACACAAACAGATTCTACGCTCTTCATCTCCTCTAAAGTCCTGATAATGAAAAAGCTACAATCATAAAAATATGATTGCTAAAGTTTTAAAGGCAGCTTCAAAATTTAATTCAATTTTAAATTAATTTCTAAACATTTTTATTTTTACAGAATGCTTTGGGAAATGTATTTTTTGAAAGTTTTCTCACTCTTAAAAAAAATAATTTTATGTGGTAGACCAAAACACGCCAAAGTGCAGTTGTACAGTGGGAGGAAACAAATACAGTGTGTCATCATTTGTTCCCTGCAAAAACGCAAAATTTTACCAAGTATTTTTGGTAAGAAATAAGTTGAAAGAAGACAAAACTAAGTCACGAGGAACTTTTCAGCAAGACACAGGAGTTTGTTTTAAGTAAATAATTTCTTAATATTGTTAAAAAATGCAAAGTCCACTGTCAGATTATTTCACTGATAACATGGGAAAAAAGTCTTGTTAAAGGTGAAATAATCATCCAGTGGAACAAATAATTTTTTCCTCAATAGTGAAAAATTATTCACTTAAAACAAGCTCCTGTATGTTGGTGAAAAGTTACTTTTAAATTAGCTTTGTTTTAATTCTGGTATACTAAGATATTTGCATTAGAAAGTAAACCAAACTACTTGGTACTCGTCTGGACTTCTAGTTGCATCATCGTTTTTGATTTTGATCATTTCTTTATTGTTTATTTTGCTCTTAGTTCTTAGATTTGGTTCTTATTTTATTGCATCTCATTGTGATTTCCTTAGATTTTTAGTTATCTTCTACTTTCTGTTGGTCTGTCTTACAAACTCCCTCAAAAATAGTTTGTGATTCTAACAAATAAGAAGCTCTGTCTTTTAACTGTTCAAAAAACAAAAACAGATCCTTCTTTTTCTCTTTTTTCTGATCAAAGCAACCCTGAAAATGAAAAATGTTGCTCACGTTGTACTGGAAGAGGAAGATCCCGCAGAAGAGACTGAAGAGGTCGGCGGTGAGCAGCGAGAGATTGACAGAGGTGGCACTGCTCATCTTCACCACTATGGGCATGAAGCTGTACAGAGCGTACATGCACAGAGCATATGCAGCAAGCAGAAGCCCTGGGAGGAGAAAAGAGCAACGGCACGTTCAGATAATAACAGCGAAAACCTGACAAAGTGACTTAGGTTGTAGTATGTGTTTTTTATAAAACAAAAGGTTGGTGTGTGAAACATTTCTACAAAAACAATATTGACATTTTTGTAATTTTTCAAAGAGGTGTCCCAGCCAGCATGCCTAGGTGGGCCCCATGTGGGGCCATCGTGGAACCCGCGGACAAACCCATATGGGACCCATATAGTCTGCCCTCCTTGTCCCCACATGGGTCCCATCTAGGCATGCTGGCTGGGTGTTGACCAATTTTTTGCCAGACTTTAGCTTTATTCCTTACATTTTACTTTTGTAAAAAAAAAAAAAGGTGTTGGAGTGAGAGAGGTCTGGAAAGTTGCTAAATATAGCAACAAAGTCGTTAAGCTGCTAACAGTGTTTTCCAGAAGCAGAAATCTTACAGAAAGTCACCAAAATCATTTTTTAAAGTGGTGGCTACTTTAAAACGTTGAACAAGAAAAAAAAGAAGTGAAAGGTACAATTTTTTATCTCATGACCAGTTTCATATTTTTTTTGAGTGAGAAATTTATCAACATTTATTCCTCTCTGCTTATAAACATCACTGTTAAAACACTACAGTTAGTTATTATAACACTATAATTTATGTCAATGCTCTTGTTTTGAAATGTAGCCGGAAGTCTGTGTTAAGCGAGGCGGAAATAGAAGCCAATGTCGGACCGGCTAACACAATCTGTCTGCCGTTGTTTTATTTAAGTGGTTAATACGTCTCTCTAATACCCTCGCTTTAACAGCAAATTTGTGAAACTAGACAAATAAATGAAAGGCCTATGCCAGAGAAGTAAGCTGGCTATATTTAGAAACAGTCAAAAGATAATTAATTAACGTGTCGTCATGCCCACACTTGGCCTGCTCCTCTGTGTATCTTGGCTCCGCCCGCTTTGGTCGAAGTATTTACACTTTTAACCTTCAAAGTTTTCCTATGTAAAATGAATACTAACCAACTTGCCAGCTCCAGATAATATTGGACAACTCATTACGCTCCAGGATGACCCTACACGGAGGGGGCAAAAGAGGTCAAACAGCCAAAAGGTTAAATAGGATGTTAATTAATTCATGCTGCTGATGACGGCTCACATCTGGACGGTGCTAATGACGGTCCCAAACAGGCCAATCATCCCCAGGAACTCCACTCTGCTCAGGTTCTTTACTGTGTACTCCTGAGACACATTGGACACCGCGTACAAAGCAGCACTGAGCAGAACCAAACCGTCTCCTAATAAGATGTTGGAGGCTGCAGAAAGAGGGGAAACAACTTTAAAAAGATCAGGATCCAGTTAGAATCGGACCAACATCTTTTGATGCTAATGAGGACCCAGACGAGCTACAGAGGAACATGGTGAACACTGTAGTTTTTCAAATTAAACCCAGGAGATTGGAACAGATTGGCAGGAAAACAAAGGATAAAACATCAGAGTAACTTAACCAAGTAGAATAAATGAGTATGGGGTGTTGATTGTAAAGTACAGTCAAAAATTAACAACACTAATTTGGGTTCTTTAAACTGCCATAAGAGAAAAAAATGGGGATTCATTGTTCAAAGTCATGTTTTCTCTATGTTATTAATCTATAAATGTCAGAGTTTCATATAAAATATTTAAGTACCTAGCTTCATATTAAATATTTAGCTAACTAAATATGATCTGATTGAGCTAAATACTTAGTTTGACACTAAACAATTAGCTTGTGAAATATTTAGATTCAAACTTAGCTTAGATACTTAGCTTAGATAGCAAGCTAAGTAATATAACTAAATATTTAGTTTGAAGCTAAATATTTAGCTTGTTCACCAAATATTTAGTTAAAATCAATAAATTTAGCTTGGTAGGAAAATATGTAGTTTTTAACAACATATTTAGCTTTTAAATTAAATATTTGGTCTGAAGCTACACATATATATTAGCTTGCTATCCAAAAAAATGCCTTCAGACTAAATATTTAGCTTGCTAATTAAATATCTAGCTTGTTATCTAAATACTTAGTTTAGCTACATATTTAACTTGATAGCTAAAAAATTGGTTTGAAGCTAAATATTTAGCCTGCTAATTAAATATTTAATTTGAAATTGTTACATTTATAAATGAATTAATAATATGGTGAAAATATAACTTTTTTTCTCTTATGAAAAGCTAAGTAACACAAATTATTGCTCTCAGTAAATTGACTTCACCAAACTAAACTTAAAATCCAAACCATCTCATCAAATACTTTGTATTTATGCAAAACCAACAAAAATGGAGTCCAAAAAACTGAGTCCAACCACAACTTTTATCCAAAAACTGGGTTCAAACATCACAGGAGTTCTTACTGGAGCCCTGGTCTCTTCCAGCCAGCAGGTCGGCGCCCACCATGGCCCCGACTCCCAGCAGACAGAGGCAGACGGCCACATAGTGGGTCAGTCTGTACCGGGTCTTCAGGATCCACCAGGACAGAATCATTAGGACCGGGATGATAAAGCAGTCCAGCAACTGGGGCACAGAACACAAGGAAACTGACTTAGGATGATAAACAATTAAATATAGACACAGTAGAAAGACAGCACACCCTTCAGGAAATGATAAAAATTATTTTGTCATTAAAAGTTATTTAAAACTGCAGGATGTAAGTTTTATAAAAAATATTTTGCATATTTGTTAAAACTGTCACCATGTTGTGACAATATCTGTGACAGATAATCTGTGAAGTGATCGCTCTCCTCCACCTCCCCCCTGGGCTACTATTACCAAAAATCACCGATTCTGACCAACAACAACCAATCAGACCCAGGAGGAGGGGCTTTGTGCTGTCAATCACTTCATATAATCGCTACTAAATTTGCTAATGGTGGAGACACATTAGCCACCAATAACAGTGGCTAACAATAACAGTTAGCCGCTGTTATTGGTGGCTATGCTAACTAGCATTAGCATTTATGACAGGCTGTGGTAGCTGCAGCGTAGCAGAGAACAATTCAAACTTAAAAATACTTTATTGATCCCCATGGGAAATTAGATAACAGTAGATCACATAGAGGAGTGATTGACAGCGCTAAGACCCGCCTTCTGCCTCTGATTGGTTGTTTCTAATTAGCACTGGGATAAGGCAGATCAATTTTTTTCACAGATTATCTGTCTCATATCAAACTGTCACAACATAGAGACAGTTTAAACAAATTTGTAAAAAAAAAAACATTTATAAAAGTTACATACTGCAGCTTTAAATCAGTTAAAACAGATGAAGAATAACTGAAAAAGAAATTTGCCATGAGATTTAAAGACAAGAAACAAAAAGACAAACTCTACATAAAAGGAGAGCATTTCACTCAATAAAAATATTTATTTTGTCAATAAGAGATCAAACATTTCTTATTGAAGCGGCAGACCCCATGGCGTACTAACCTGGACGCTGGTGAGGGTGGTGTACTGATAGGCTTTGACCACGGTGTAGTTGGCCTCCACATCCACCAGACCCAGCAGTAAGTACCTCCACCATCTTCTCTTAAGGATCTGCAAGATATTTCCATCCCCTGCGTTTTAAAGGGGATCACCCCGGAGTTTCAGTATTCATGTGTTTGTTTCTTCATCAAGGAGGAGGACAGTTCATTAAAAATAAGCTGATCAGATGAAATGTGTGCAGTAATTCTGCAGAATCTAGTCTTAAAACTCAAATCTAGCAAATACATGTGGGACAAGCAAATCTTATAACATGGAAGAAAAAATTATGTGATTATTTTTGCATGTCAGCAACAGAATTGACATTCACATAAGAATGTTTGGTTATTTATTTGGATTTTGACAAAGATTGACAGAATTAGAATTATGAGTTAAAGTCGAAATTCTGAGAAAAGAAACTCATAATTATGAGGAGAAAATCTGAATCCTGAGAAAAATTATGGGTTGGAAAAAAAAAACCCAGAATTCTGATGGAAGAAAAAATTAATTCTGACAAAAAATCTTACAATACTGAGATTAAAGTCAGAATTCTAGTTTTGAGATTAAAGTCACAATTCTGAGAAAAAAGTCGGAATTCTGAGAAAGATCGTAGAATTATGACATTAAAGAAGTGAGAATTTTGATTTTGAAATTAAAGTGAGAATTCTCAGAATTCAGAAAATCAGAACTCTGAAAAAAATCAGAAGTCTGAGAAAAAATTCAGAATTCTGAGAAAAAAAGTCTTAGAATTCTGATATTAAAATCAGAATCTTGAGATTAAAGTCACAATTCTAAGGAAAAAAGCTACAAGTCTAACAAAAATCTGAATTTGTGGAAAAAAGTTAGAATTTGGAGAAAAAATTTCACAATTCTGATTTTCAGATTATAGTCATAGTTCTGAAATTAAAGTTAGAATTCTTAGAAAAAAATCTGAATTTTGAGTTTTTAGGGGAAAAAAAACTGTATCATTTTTTTCCTTTCAGTAGCTCCAGTCTTCGTCTGTATAACGTTTAAAATCTTGAGATAGTCTGAAAATGTGTCTGCCTGAATAAAATATGAAGCAGTTTGAGTTTAGCAGACATGCTTAGACACTATTAGCTGTGGTGCTACCTCTCCTGCAGATCATCATGCTGGTGTAGGTGGCGCACAGCAGCGTGTAGTTCAGGAAGCTCTGCAGCATTGGCGCGTTCAGGTGAAACTCTGCGGCCAGGTACTGAGAGGAGACCGCGGTACCACAGATGAGCCCGGCCAAACCCTGACCCATTGCCAGCGTTTTGGCGAGCTGCCTGAGAAAAATAAACATCACCGCCTGGTCAGAGACATTCACACATTTACCAGGTTCAATATGTGACTTAAATCTAGTGCTGGTTCCACTGGCAGATTATTAAAAAGATAATTTCACTGTAAAAACATAAAATGTTACCAAGTAGATTTGTCTTATTACACTTAAAATTGGAGAAGACTAACTTAATAGTAACTTTTCAGCACAATATAGAAACCTAAGTAAACAATTCCTTAATGTTGATTAAGAAAAAACGACTATCAGTTTCACTGGCAGATTATTTCACTTATAACATTTATTACCTGCTGTAAGTGACATACTCTGCAAGTTAAACTGGTAGGTTTTGGCTCGTGTGTGACTTAATTTTGGAAAATACCCAGAAAATAATTAATTCAGAACAGAAAAATAACAGTTAAATAGACTATTTATTAATTTCTCATCTGAAGAAGAATCACAAACACAAAAAGGAAAAGCCTACTGTAAATTCTGACCCAGAAATACATGACATTTCATCACCTTAATTATTTCACTTATAACAAAACATTTTTGTTAACTTTCAGTAGCTTTTCAGCAAGATAGAGGAGCTTGTAAATTGGATTAATTAACATATATTGTTGGAATAAAGTAAAAATAATCTGCCAGTTGAAGTAGAACTTTTAAAAGAATTAATTACTTAAAACAAGCTCTTATATTTTGCTGAAAAGTAACTTGTAAGTTGGTCTTGTCTTATTTCTAGATGAAAATTCTTATGAAATTATGAATTTGTTCCAGTTTATTTAATTTATTTTAAATATTGATTATTTTTGCCTTGATTGTTTTTAATTTTTAAAAGTGAAATTTTGAAAAAAAGAAATCTGAATGTTTTGAAGGTTTTTTTTGTATGAATTTGGATAAAAAATAGCTTTTCCAACGTTGCTTTTTGCTGAAATAACCACAAACATCCTTACAGAGTTACTGTTATATCCTGAAATCAGTTTTTTTTTTGTTTACTCACCAAGTGAAAACCTCCTTTGGTTTGAACTCCCTGAGCCTCACCAGGAATCCCCCCCGCTGGTCCTCGGAGCGCTCGTCTTCACCGGGTTGTTTAGCAGCCATGTTGTCTCACTGCGGCGGATCAAACTCCTCACAGCTTCAGCTGCTACTGAGTTTTTAAAAAATCTTTTCCTCTCTTTGTTTCAGAGCTGAATGATTAACTGTCTGGGCGGTCAAAGATCATTCCTTTACTTATCTGTGCTTTTCAAAAGCACGCAGGACACAATCAGCGCATGAGATAAGAGTTAATTACAGAGTTTTATTTAATGGGAATAAAACTTTTACTTTGATAAATGTGAGATAATTTAAAGAAGTAATCGTTGTGTTTCCTTTTGTTATAACTGCTTATGATATCAAGAATTTTATTTATTCTTTGTTATTTTAGACTAAATTAATCCATATCATCAAAAAAATATATGTACATGTAAATATAACAATCACAAAACACAATAATAAAAAGATTTTTTTTCTAGAGCAATTGTATTTATAAAAATTAATGAGTAAATTATTTAAGTGTCTATCATTACTATGTCCCTGAATGTGAATGTTTTGTTTTTCGTAGCTGCAACTTATTTATTTCAACCATCTAAATCTATCTTTATGACTTCATCCCTGATTGTTTTTTTTGTAATTTTAATGTCCTCTTATCTTGTCTGTCATAATAACAAAAATACTATGATAAATTTATTTTTATTGCTCATTAGAATAACCACAAGGTTAGCCAAAGTGTTTTTTAATGGGTAAAAATAAAGTAAACACATAAAACACAATGAATAAAACTGATATTCAACCCAACAAGAACAATATGCTGTATGTTGTATAATGGCAGTAAAGGAGTTAAGTTAAATTAACAGTGTAACAGTATACATGTATATGTATATTTTTAATTATTTCACTGGAGAATAATGGCATCTTTTAGAGCTTAGTTCCATTTTGTTAATTTTTTTTCCTCAAATTTCTCATAAGTAAAATTACAAATGTAACGGTTAAATTTACTGGATTTGCTCTATTGTTTATATATTTGGAAGATCTGCTTTATTCAAAATGGAAGAAAGAATGTGAATATTGTATTTATCAATAAAAGCGACATGGATGCAATTTAATAAGAATATACTGCTTTCTAGTCATTTTGAGATATGATAATAAATGAGGATTAACTTTAGAGCTGCACATTTTGTTTTATTTGCTCTGCTTTATAATGTGTATAAATAAATGTTTCTGAACCTGTTTGCATCTTTTTTTAAAGATTTGCAGCTGATAACATGGAAACATTAAACAATGATGGTTCAGAAAATAATCTAAAACCATTTAGTTGAAATTTTTATTCACATATTTTAAAATATAGCTCTGTTTTCTCATGGTAATATTTTCCTCTATTTAAAACCAATGAGACACTTAAAAAAGTTTAAATATAATTTTCATGTTAATGATCGAGTAAATCTGTCCGCATCAAATCATATTAACTCTGGCCAGCAGGGGGCAGTGTGGACCGCAGTACGGATGAGCGTCGGACGAAAACAAAACTGTTTTTATACCAAATAAATTTTTTAACATATCCTCAAACTACAGCTTCACTCATGAAATAATTAATACGATTAATTCCTCTCAGACTTCCCCATTAGAAAAAAATAGTGATAAAACAAACTAGTAATATGTTTGTTGAGCAAAATAAATTCAGCCATGTTGTCATACTTATTTCAACTGTAAACATGTTATGTTGTGAATGCTTAATAAAAAATGATCAAGTGAATAAATAAAAAGGGGAAGTCAGTCGTCCTGCAGTGGGTCCAACTGCAGGCGGTTCCCCCAAGGGAAGTTCTGCTCAAGGCCTCATGCAACCTTTGACCGGCTCTGCAGGCATGATTTCATTTGATTATAAATAACAAGTTTGTTTAAAAGTAATTTGTCCTGAAGAAAAGACAAAAATTTCCAACTTAAACATTCAGGACAATTTATTTGTTTATTAAATCCAGCTTTAATAAGTGAATTTAACATATTTTCCCCCATGTTTTACTTTTACTTCACTATCTTAAACTGGCTGGGTTTGGTATAAATGTCACCATTCAGCTTCAAGAAAGATTAAATATATTATTTTAAGATTTAAAAGCCAGAAATCTTTCAGTCTCCGCTTAGTTGTTATATTCCAATTGTTCTTAGTTTACCAATTTATTAAATTAAAACTAAAATAATTTGCACAACCTACTTATTTTTAAACAACCTTTTTGCTGTTGTTCATCTGTTTTTCTGCACTGATATTTTGTATTTTAAATAGTCAGTCTTTTTTAATGTGCAATACAAATGCACTTTATGTACATTTAAATAAAAACTAACTTCACTCAGTTGCACATTCCTATTTCTATTAACTAGACAGTATTTTCTTTATGTGAAGGCATTATACATGTACAGTGTGTCAATAATGTTATTGTTAATCTTGTTCTTTTACATATTGTTTTAAACACTTTAAGATTTTCTGTGAACTTTTACATTGACAACATCTGATTACAATAAAGGCTGTTTCTGTTTTATTCTATTCTATTCAACAGTAAAAAAAATCTCGAGGGGTGTTGGTTTTAGACGTTTTAACTTTAGTTAAACAGAATTAAAATATACTTTTATCTGTAATCAGAATATCGTGTTCCATACTGAGAAGACAATAACTATTAATTGAACCACCAAGTCTGTTTTTAGAAGCAGGAGAGAGTTTATTTCGGTGAACTGGGTTACCATTACCTAATCCTGATACCTGTCTCGCGAGAATCTGCGAGGTGATAAGTTGGAGAAACATGGCGACGCCTAATTTGTTAAAGGTAAGAAGCAACTGAATTACATTCACTGTTTCTGTGCACATTTAGGTTCGTTGCTGTTACGTCTTTTTAGGTTAACTGCTGATAAATGTTCTCGGTGCTTCAGCCTCCACGCATCTCCGCTGATGTTAGCATTTATGTAATAAAAACCCAGAAAGGTGCGCCTGAAGTGGCCGCTGCCGTTGTTGAAGTCCGGTGTTATGCCGGGGTTCGTTTCCCCGATCATGTCGTCCCCTTTTAATCTCTTCATTTCCCTCCCCGAACCTGCGCTTAAATTACGAATCCAGCCTTCTTCCTGAGATTCGGAACCGAACGCAGAACTGTAAGCCGTTAGCTAGTGTCGGGTCCCTGCGTGGATCAGTCCGAGAGATGGACCAGAAGAAGCAGGTCCCAGCCGAAACACTGGGGGAGAAAAATGCTAGAAACACGGTTCGGAAGGAAACCAGACCTCCACGCCACGAACTCCCCCACACGCCCACAGCAGAACCGCTTCAAGCTGCTTCTGTTTGGACTTTATTTTGACTAGCTAACCTCTCAATAAGGTTGCTAAAACTAGCGTCTGTTCCTGGAAGGCCTTTCAAAATAATATTCACCTCAGCCAAAAGTTTAGTCTGCAGAGAGATACGCAGATCCCAAATCAGGTTAGTTAGGCTTTAATCCCCCAAATATCCGCTAACCTGCTAGGTAGCGTTAAAACGAACTTCATGTTGGCTCTAGTGTAAATCTACTGACCTAGATAACACATTTAACAGGATATCAGTGTCTAAATACGCCTAATAATTCGTGGCAGGGCCGGTCCTAGCTCTCTGGGGGCCTTAAACAAGATGTTGTTTTGGGGCCCGTAGTTTATCAAACCACAATGAAGAAATTACTAACGCTTTATGTACATTTAAATAAAAACTAACTTCACTCAGTTGCACATTCCTATTTCTATTAACTAGACAGTATTTTCTTTATGTTAAGGCATTATACATGTACAGTGTGTCAATAATGTTATTGTTAATCTTGTTCTTAACAAGATTAAGATTTGTTTTGGATGTATAGTTCACATACATCCAAAACAGATTACAGCCAATATTACACGTCTTGAGGTGAATTAACAGATTAAAAGAAACTGTAACAAAAACGGCAACACTATTCAAAATACTGATTTTGATTGCTTATAAAAATCTGCTAGAATTTGAATAAACATGTCTGGTGTCAGTCATTCCCATGTTCATTACCATGTGACATATTAATGAAGCAAACACAAAAGCCGAGGTTATGATGAACAAATTCTAGCCAGCTAAATAGCAAGACTAGCTAGCAGGACAAAAAGCTTGCACTTGAGGCGTTAAATACAAACTGTACATCTGTTTTGTAAAGTTTTGGTTTAATTAATTCTCTGAATATTTTCTTTTCAACAAATGTCTTTTTTTTAGTCTACATGCTCCAGTTGGCGATTAATCGGTTACTAAATTAGTTGATGATTATTTCAATAACCGATTAATCAGAATTAATCGATCGTTTCAGCTCTAGTAACAACAGTGCTGTTTCTATCAAAGAACCTGCATTGCATTTTTATTCTTTATGTGATTTAAGAAACAGAAATTAAAACTGGCGCCGACAGGTATGACATCGGTAATTGGTATCGACCCTCATCGGTGCATCTCCTCTTTATACTCTTTGTCTCACTCCCAGCCTGTATTTTCTCATTTCTGTTCTGTAATATTAGATTTTCCTCCACCCTTCCCTCATGTCTTTCTGGCAGAACAAGGGGTCCCTGCAGTTTGAGGACAAGTGGGACCTGATGCGGCCCATCGTTCTCAAGCTGCTAAGACAAGAGGCCGTCACCAAGCAACAGTGGTTCGACTTATTCTCGTAAGAGACGCTCTTTGATCCGCCGCAGTACAGCTGCTGTGGAAACAACTGCTTTAGTTTTAATGCAGAGTGGACGAAAGCGGAGCGCCCTGTGCCATCGTTGAGTTTCCTTCTTAAGATGCTAAAGATGTCAAAGTTTAAAGGCCACTTCTTTATTTATTCACGTCCTGCTTTTGGTAAAATGAAACGTTAATCAGCTTCCAGTTTGTGCAAAATTATCAACTAAAACAAAATTTATTTGCTTCTTAAAAATGTTTATTCTTACAGGCATTCTCAATTTTAAGTTGGGCTATTCACGACTTTAATATTATTGAATATTTTAAGATTTATTGTGGTTATCTAGAGTCATCATACACACAGATTGAAAGTGTAATGTTGCAGTCTGAAAGAATGACACGATTAATATTTT